TCATGTTGAAAATAAACATGAAGGAGTCAGATATCCTTGTTCTCAATGCAAGTATATTGCAACTCAAGCAAGTAATCTGAAAGTTCATGTTGAATACAAACATGAAGGAGTTCGATATCCCTGTAGTAAATATGAATATGCTGAAACTACAACACAGAGTCTAAAGATACATGTTAAGAATAAGCATGAGTGTTAGTTATCAATGCTATATGCAAACAGAGATCAGTAAATAATGACAAATAAGCAATTTTAGAATTTTTTTACCCCGCCCCCCCCCTCTAGAAAAAAATAATGTATTTGATGTATATCAAATTATTGGTTTTAGTTTGGTTTGATTTGCATTTTCCACTCATTTCTGGCATTTACAAACTCCGTCAAATAAAGGCTTTATTTCCTACCTTTCAGCTTTCACTTTGTTTTATATCCTTCATTATGGTCATTCGTTTTACATTAACTACAAAGATCTGTAAAAACTGAGTTTATTTTTAGTTACATTAAAAATAGTTTTACTCTAAGAGGAAAAAGATGTAACTTTTTTAAATCTTTAGAAAAGCTACTCTGCAAAACTTTGAAAAATTATTGTATTTATTTATATTCTAATTTCTAATTTCTAATTTCTTAACTTTTCTTGTCGTCAAGGTACTAGGTATATATGTCAATTTTACTATATTAAAAGGGAAATGTCTTACTTTTAAAATTTAATTCTTAATAATCTTGATCTTTTAGCATTCTATTCCCCCCCCGGAAGAGCTATATACTTAATTTGACATATATTGCAAGTACCCTACTGCGTTAAAAAACTCGATTTTTGGGTAAAATTTATCTAAGTTACTTTTTTAAAAATTGATTGAGTAAGATTATCTGCGCGAAGTGCCAATATTTTTTGTACATTTTCTTCTTTTAATGGTAATTATGGACATGGAGAATGGGGATTAAGTTACTAAACCGGGGGGTAATTATCCCAAGGATTTTTGGGAGGGGTAAGAAACACTAATAACCCCCCTTATTTACGCCAATGTGTGAGTATATTGCATTTCAAGAAAGTACTTTGAAAAGACATGTTGAAAGTAAACATGAAGGAGTGTTCGCAATTTGAGTATATTTCAACTCAAGCAAGTACTCTGAAGATTCATGTTAAAAATAAACACGAAGGAGTGAGATATCCTTGTTCTCAATGTGAGTATATTGCAACTAAAACACGTAACCTGAAAGATCACGTTAAAAGTAAACATGAAGGAGTGAGATATCCTTGTTTGCAATGTGAGTATATTGCAACTCACGCAAGTAATCTGAAAGTTCATGTTAAATACAAACATAAAGGAGTTCGATATCCCTGTAGTAAATGTGAATATGCTGCAACTACAACACAGAATCTAAAGATACATGTTAAGAATAAGCATAAGTGTTAGTTATCTTTATTTTCAAAGTTAGTGTGTAATCAAGATAGATGTGAAAGTATTTATATAATGAATAAAGCTTTCTTTAGTTTTGCATATTAATTCAAGTATGTTCTTTGATATCCTGAATATTATATGTTTCATTTAATTCCAATACTTTACAAATATTGTGGTTACCAAAATCATACTTATACATTTTAAAATTTTTGCTTGTGTGTAAGTTCTTTTCAAAAATGCTGCTATTCTTATTTTAGTTAAAATAGTCATTGATCACTTATTAACAAAGATGTTTTAGTTCAATCTTTAGTTAATATTGTTGTTTACTGTATATTGTATAATAATAATATAAATGATTGATTTGCTTTTGTAATATTACATTTTCTGAAATTTTAGTAAAGAAAAACATTTACGATATACAAATATTAGAACTTTCACGTTTTCTCACAAACTGGTGTGCTTGGTTGTGGTTTATAGTTTTCTGGAAAATATCATTGACAACCTCTGAAGTGTTAATTTGGAATTTTTTTAAAATCTATTCTATTTATTTTTCAGATAGAATGGAAGAGCTGGTGAAGAAAGAAATAGATCGTCAAAGAATTTGAGATAACCCCTTCTGTGAGTATCAGCCACAACAACTTCTCGTCCGAGCCACATTCTTCTCATTTTCTTGTCCGAACCACCTCAAAATCCTCTTCCTTTGATTATTATGTGTTTAAAAGTTTCTAATTCTTACATAGAAAACTATTTTTAACTAATCTGGCAATGTTAGGACATAAAAAATGGATAGACCAAAGTATTGCAATGAGTAAATCATGTTTGAAACGATGCTATCCCATTTGAACTATTCCCGTTTGAACCATTGTTCATTTGAACGTTTGTTCGTTTGAACTACTGCACGTGGTACCACGTAAATAGTTGGAATGAACAATAGTTCAAACGAGTTTATTTAATGCTCATTTGAACTATTTTCAGTTCATTTGAATATTATTGTTTATTTGAACTATTAATATATTATATATGAAATAAACAAAAAAATAGTCCAAATGAACATAAAAATAGTTCAAATGGACATAAAAATAGTTGAAATGAACAAATCAATAGTTCAAATGGACATAAAAATAGTTCAAATGAACATAAAAATAGTTCAAATGGGCAAAAAATAGTTCAAATGGACAAAAAATAGTTCAAATGAACAAAAAAATAGTTGAAATGAACAAAAAATAGTTCAAATGAACAAAAAAATAGTTCAAATGAACAAAAAATAGTTCAAATTGACGAAAAAATAGTTCAAATGGACATAAAATAGTTCAAATGGACATAAAAATAGTTCAAATGAAAATAAACATAGTTCAAATGGACATTAAAATAGTTCAAATGGACAAAAAATAGGTCAAAATGGACATAAAAATAGCTGAAATGAACATAAAAATATGTTCAAATAGGCATAAAAATAGAACCTAATTTTTAAATCTAATTCTAAATCTAAGGGAACAGTCTTATACTTGAACTTTCATCCGTAAAAATTTTGAATTCAAATGTTTTCCTCAAATAACACTATATGATCCTGGGCTCTAGAAACTGCAGTCCTGCCATAAATTCAGTTCACTTGTTTTCCTTCAAAATTATATTTCATTCCAGAATGAAATCTTGAATTCAACGTATGATAATGGTTCACTCCACAATAATTAACACTGAACACTGCACTGTACCTCATGATTTGGAAACGCCTCAACAAGGAATCGGACTAAAAAAACCCAGAAACCTACCCCAAATAAATTTTTTTGAGGCGTTTCATGTGTGTTTTTTTTAAATCATCGGAAATCCCTTAAATCTAGTTTTTAAAGGAATTTCCCGTTGCCCCGAGTTTTAGGTGGGATTCCGGATTATACCGGTCCTATATTTTTTCCTCATTTTTTTGGTCAGCTTCCAGTTTTCAGAAAAAGATTTAAATTCTCAGTTTGTTGATCAGTTTCCCCTTTTAAATGGGTCTGTTTCTGGTTTTCAGAAAAAGTTTTAAATTCAAGTGTTACGCGACGTAATCGTCTCATTCTAAACTCCCAACCCATGAGCTCTCCTCTGAGAAGACGTGAAACCCCCTGAAGTTGAGGGAGGGACCTTGTCTGAAGTAACTAATCGAAACTAGTTTTGTACGTCAGTTACACTTTTTATTTTTTGCTTGCGTGTAAATTCTTAATAAGTTCAAAAAAGCTGTTTTTCTTTTAATATTGTTTTTTCTTCTTTTAGTTGAAAATAGTCATTGGTCACTCATTAACAAAGATGTTGCTTTTCAATCTTTAATTAGTATTGTTGTTTACTGTATATTGTATAATAATAATATAAATGATTGATTTGCTTTTGTAATATTACACTTTGTGAAAATATAGCAATTTTCTAAAAAAAACATTTATGATATACAAATATTTGAACTTTATGTTTTCTCACAAAATAATGTGTTTTTTGTACTTTATATAGTTTTTTGTAGAAAAATTGATAATCTGCAATTTGTATTTTTTTCAAATTTAAGCTTTTTTCAGATAGAATGGCAGAGATTATTAAAGAAGAGTTAAATATAGAAGAGTTTGAGATAAAAGAAGAGATAGTTTCCATCAAGGTAGAAATCCTTCCCTCCTCTACTGTAGAGGAAACATGTACTGTTAATCTGAACAAAGATGATATAAAGATGGAAAATTCAGAAATACAAGGTAAAGTAAATGTTTGTCATAATTATTCATTAAAGAGTAAATATACATTATTTTCTATTTTCTACCTTGAGTAATTATTTTGAAGGGGGCTCGGATTTTAATGTAAAATTTTGTTTAAAATTTGGAATAATTATATAATTACTTAAAATAAATTTAAAAATATTACGCTTAGGGAGCAAAAGAAATCCCCCCACCCCCGCAGTATAAAAAGAAGCAGGTTTTTCTTCAAAATAACTATATTTAATCTATCAAAAGAATAACTCATTAGCTGTAGGGGGGAGGGGGAGTAATTAACCATGAGAGTGAACCTGTATTTTCTAGGTGTATTGAACCTACAGATTTTAGGTCGGAAAAACGTAAGGTCAGAAAAACATTAGTTTGCAAACTCAATAGGTTCGTTTCCTCTAAGTTCGATGAGCGGGCACCCATTTAACAATATAAAATAGAATAAATAGACATAATTTTAGACTATATTGAAACCTTAATTAAACGCATACATTTATGTTTAGATACGATTGAGAATCAACCTGTATTTGATCCTGATTTACACACTGAGCTTATCATTAAAGATGAAATAGAGGATTCAGGTAATTGAAAATCTTACATTTAAACAATAAATATCATTGGAAAAATTCATAAATAGATAAAATACAATAAATACAGTTCATAAATATTAAAGTTGTTAACGATAAAGATAATTAAATATTTGATATAAAAATCGATCTTTAACTATTCAGGAGAAAACATGGATCAAGGATTTGAGCCGGAACTAAAGAGAACTAAAAGAAGTAAAGTGGGATTTCCTTGTAATAAATGTGAGCATGTTGCAACCAGAGCTTATTACCTGAAAATTCATGTTGAAAATATACATGAAGGAGTGAGATATCCTTGTTCTCAATGTGAGTATATTGCAACTACAGCACGGGCTCTGAAGATGCATGTTAAAAATAAACATGAAGGAGTGAGAGTTCCTTGTTCTCAATGTGAGTATATTGCAACTCAAGCAAGTGCTCTGAAGATTCATGTGGAAAATAAACATGAAGGAATGAGATATCCTTGTTCTCAATGCGAGCATATTGCAACTACAGCATGGTCTCTGAAAAATCATGTTAAAAATAAACATGAAGGAGTGAGATATCCTTGTTCTCAATGTGAGTATATTGCATCTCAAGCAAGTAATCTGAAAGTTCATGTTAAATACAAACATAAAGGAGTTCGATATCCCTGTAGTAAATGTGAATATGCTGCAACTACAACACAGAATCTAAAGATACATAAGAATAAGCATAAGTGTTAGTTATCTTTATTTTCAAAGTATTTATAATGAATAAAGATTTCTTTAGTTTTGCATATTAAATCAAGTATGTTCTTTGATATCCTGAATATTTCGTGTTTCAATTTATTCTAATACTTTACAAATATTTGGTCACCAAAATCCTTCTTATACATTTAAAATTTCGCTTGCATGTAAGTTCTTTATAAATTCAAAAATATTGTTTTTTCTTATTATAGTTGAAAATAGTCACTGGTCACTCATGAATAAAGATGTTGTAGTTCAATCTTTATTTAATATTGTTGTTTACTGTATATTGTTCAATAATAATATAAATGATTAATTTTGCTTTTTTAATATTACACCTTGTGAAAATATAGCAATTTTCTAAAGAAAAGCATTTTTGATATACAAATATTAGAACATTTATGTTTTCTCACAAAATAATGTGCTTTTTTGTACTTAATAGTTTTTTGTTGAAAATAATTGATAATCTGCAATTTGTATTTTTTTCAAATTTAAGCTTTTTTCAGATAGAATGGCAGAGATTATTAAAGAAGAATTAAATATAGAAGAGTTTGAGATAAAAGAAGAGATAGTTTCCACCAAGGAAGAAATCCTTCCCTCCTCTACTGTAGAGGATACATGTACTGTTAATATAAACAAAGATTATGTAAAGGTGGAAAATGCAGATATACCAGGTAAACTTCATGTTTGTCATAATTATTCATTAAAGTGTAAATATACATTATTTTCTGCCTTGAGTAGCTATTTTGAAGGGAGCTCGGATTTTATAATTTATTATTATAATTTTCTATTTACAAGTTAATGGGGACCTCAGCCTTATTAACAACGTATGGATCAGATAGCCTATGGATCAGTTAGCGTATGGATCAGATACCATATAGATCGGATAGCGTATGGATTGGATAGCGTATGGATCAGATAGCGTATGTATCAGATAGCGTATGGATCAGATAGCGTATGGATTAGATAGCGTATGGATCAGATAGTGTATGGATCGGAAAGCGTATGGATCGGATAGTGTATGGATTGGATAGTATATGGATCTGATAGCGTATGGATCAGATAGCGTATGGATCGGATAGCGTATGGATCAGATAGCATATGGATCGGATAGCTTATGGATTCGATAGCATATGGATGCGAGAGTGTATGAACTAGATACATTATCAAAGGAATTGGACCTGAATTTGGCTGAGGATATCGGAAAACCTATTAACAATCACTGGGTCTTAATAAAGAATGGACAAATTCAAACAGACGTAAACAACATTTTTAAGGAGTAGAATATTTAGTGGGGACTGTATTTTGGCTGAGGACATCAGAAAACCTAAT